ACAGTGGTGGAATGGGGAAGGAATATTAGCGGAACAGTGGAGTAAAGGAATGAAGGAACAACGGCCGACCGACCGGAATATATTTTGAAGCGCTCCCTAACACTATCATTGTGATAAAGAAACTAAGTTTTAACTGGCTTTTTAATCACGAAAAAGAAAACGAGAAAAATTTCTTCTCTGTTTATCTATACACGATTTCATATGTCAACATATATGCTTATTTCTACTATTCTAGAATAAAATGATTCAATTTAAGATTTTTTTTTTCGATATTATATATATAGCCATGTTGCCATCAATGAAACTGACATGTCAGTTGTTGTAAAAAAGAGCATGTAGATCTTTTTATTACACACATGAAAAGCTTGAATTAAGGAAAAGTATCCTTTTCTGATTATTTCTATCGATAGATCCAGGTGGATCTCAGGACATCAATAATATGGAAAAATGAGAACAATAACGAAGAGTTAATCAAAATTGAAACGATATACGATGATATCATTGACATTGTTGTATATTTTTAGTTTAGTTTTAAATTTCTTTTGTTTCTATAAGTATCAATAAATGTAAAACGACATCTGAAGTAGAAATGTATGTCAATTAGCTGAATCATCAAAGATACTTTGAAATTTGTGCGAATATTTTTAACTGAGTTTTTATTTAAATGCTCTATAATATATTTTCAAAGTTATTTTTAATTTACAAGTTTTCGAGAGCAAGAAAATGTCTGCAGAATCTTCTAAAATTTTCAATCATCACTATGCTTGATCTTTGCATGGATTTTTATAATAATTTCAATGTAATCCTCTTCATTAACTATGAAATTCAATTCATATTGTATTCAACTTGAAATATAAATAATAGGAGATATTATTTCTTGTAATAACAAATAAATGGATGTTTGTTTTTTTGTTTATTTATTCTTTGTCTACTTTTCCTTTAATATATCATTATTATTTGATTGGCTCTCAATTCATTTCAATCAATAGTTGTAAATGCATAATGAAGTCGCTGGTTTCCATGTAAAATCGCGATACTAAATACAAAAAAAAATCTAGCAGTGTAACGATGCAAAGACTATATTGATGGTATTAGTACTCCAATGGGTTTAGTCATGATTTATTAAATGTTGTTGTTGCTTTCACATAATAAACCTTTTCCAATCGAAAAAACCTCAACTCAAAAGTA